TCGCTAACCTGTCAAATCCACAAAATATGCCAAAAATTCGGAGTGTGGGTCCAAAATGTTCCCGGGTTGTAGGTGGAAGGGTTAAGTTGGTAAGCGTTAATTTTTACCGGTGAGAGAAATCGGCAGGACAAAAAGTCGGCTTTTACTGAGCGCCGCTGAACGCGATTGGGTACGATCACCAGCGCACTGTTGCCAACAGTTCAGTAGTTGGGAAAAACAATGGTCGCGTTTACCAGCACTCAACATGTTGAGTGATTGTGAGAGGCTTTGTTCTAACAAGTGGAATACACAAGGTAAAACAGTTTTGATTGGCCTAGAGCTGATTTTCATCAGTTTTCAACAAAGCCGCTGACTAATCACTCAACATGTTAAACAGGACCATTCGCTCAGTAAAAACCGCTTTTTGTCAGCTGCTGCCGATTTCTCTAAGCGGTAAAAGTTTACGCTTACCAACTCAACTTATTGAATTGTCATTTGTCATAACTCTCAACTATGCGTTCAGGAGATTTACATCCGCTGTATCTCAACTGTCCCCGTACCCATTGTTTCCTCAGCTACTCAACTGTTGGCAACAGTTGAGTGCTGGTGAACGTACCCCCTTTAAACAAGTAGCAGTATCGAACGCCAGCGCTTCAAGGTGAAAATGAATAGTGATTCAGACAATTCTATAAGTTGAAAAAATACTAATAGTCCATTTTCTTGCAGTGGAGCTTTGTAAATTACAAAAAGAAGACTGAAGTTTTCTTTTTGTAATTCTGATAGTGATTTGTTGGAGGAGGAGGTTCCTGAAAAGTCTTCAGCCAACCTCGATTTGAGAGACTGTATTCCTCGGCGACCTCGGCACGACTTTGGCCTTTCTTTTCTTTCGGGATAAAATTTCGCAGACCTTATATTCAAAAACGCGGCCATTTCTCCCAAACTTTTAAACACCACAAAAATGTTTAAGCCAACGTTTACCAGGCTTGCAAAAATGTAAGCTTTTCCTTCATATAATTAGGAATTGCTTACTTTTATTCACACCATTTGAAGACAATGCTAAAAACTGTAGCTTTTACTAATTGAATTTTTAGTTAAAGCTAATACTCATTTTTATTCACTGCAAAGTAAGTATTTGCTTAGGAAATGCAAGATAAAGCTTTTACTAAATTTTTATTCACACTACCCTTGTTTTAGACTTTGTTGAGCCTCGGAAAAAATATACTCAATTTCTGCTTAAAACTTTTTGAAAATTGGAACTTGTGATGCGTGAAAATTATCAGCAGCTTATTTTAGTAAGGAAGCCCTGTAAAACTTGTATATTAGAATTTTCACGGAAACACGACTTAAAACAACAATCAATTATACTCGGAGAAATATTGAATGTAAAACTTGTAATTCGATACGAGTATCCACTGAGTAACACACTTGTATAAAAATAGATTCTAGAATAAAAAACTCGTAATTAAAAACTTGAACGAAATTCCAATTCAAAACAATCTTCAGTAGCGTACTCGAGAGAAATGTGTGTTCGAATGTTTAAAAAAAAAAATTCTATGGCTGCAATACAAGGTAACTTATGGGATTTCATTTCAATTTGATATAAACAGTGTGTATATAAATTCAATATAAAATAAATGAGTTTCGGAAATAATAACACTGAATGAAAATTCTTATAATTTTCCCAGTTTTATCGTGATATAATAATTTACAGTGTGTTAATGAATTTAGTGGTATGCCTAGTCGGGGCAAGAAAATTTTTCATCAATCTCAATTAAAGTCTGCATGCCACTGAATTCATTAACACACTGTAAATTATATCACAGACGATAAATATAGAAAAATTGTAGAATTGTTTTGGCTTGATATTGATGATTGGGCGTTCCTAATACTGACACAACAAGGTAGAAATGAGAAATGAGACAGGCCTCGGTAGCTTAGTTGGTAGAGAACTACACTGGATATGCGAGGGTCCTGAGTTCAAATCCTAGTCGAGGCAAAAAAAAATTAATCAATTAATAATAATTGATAATTGAAGTCTGCATGTCACTGAATTAATAAACACAATGAAAATTGTAATTTTTCAAGTTTGAACGACTGTAAAATCTGAACGGATTGAAGTAGAGCAAAATGGTTTGCACATTCCTGAGTGAGGTTATGTCAAACGACCAATTTGTTTATTTTCAATTTTTGAATTTTTTCTGCTAAAAAGTTCTTATATAATGGGTTTGTTATAAAAAAGACCTTTGGGCTAATAAGCCACTGGAGGCCACCACTCCAATAACTGGTGGTCAGAATTGCGCTGCAAATTTCTCAACAGCCCACAAATCACTTATTCTGCATAACAGTTAATAACATCAAAGATGTACCTGTAGTCAAAATCAACATCGAAAATCGATCTGTACAATTTGTTATAGATACTGGAACATCGGTTAACTTGATTAGCAAAGCAACATTTTTAACACTAACAATCAAACATGACTTAACTAAAGAGGCAACCAACATATTTCCGTACTGTGCAAAACAAAAACTAGAAGTTCTTGGAAAACACAATCGTCCCACAAAAATAACACAACAGAAAAAGTAATTCGTGTAGTAAATGGAGAATGTCAATCAGTAGGTTTCAACACCTCCTTGCAACTCAAATTGATACACATGACAAATAGTGTTTTTACAAAAATTAACCAAGATTATGTCAAGAACAAATACCCAGAGATATGCACCGGTGTAGGAAGTTTTTCAAAATTTGAAGTCCATCTACACATAGACAAGAATATTAAACCAATAGCGCAAAAACACACCTCAGGGAGAAAGAAGAAGCAGAAATTAATCGTTTGGAACAAGCAGACATTATTGAAAAAGCAGAAGGCCCTATGTCATGGGTATCTCGAATTGTCATCGTACCGAAACACAACAAAGACTTAATTCAAAGTGTTGACATGAGGTTAGCTAACATAGCAATAGTACGTGAAAAGCACCTAACACCCTCTATCAGTGACGTCATTACCAACCTTAATGGTGCAACACAATTTAGCCCAATCGATCTAAAGGATGGATGGATATAATCAGCTGACTATAAACGAGGATAGCCGATACATAACATAACAACATTTTCAACGCATGCAGGTCACTACACTTATAAACGTTTAAGTTTTGACATAAATACTGCTACGGAAATACTCCAAAATGCAATTAGACAGATTTTAATAAACATTTCTGGAGTTTTGAATTAGAGTGACGATATTTCAATATTTGGCAACACTGTAGAAGATCACAACCAGTCTCTAGAAGCTGAAAGAATGCAACTTTGCAATTAACAAATCAAAATGTGTATTTAGTGTAACGAAGTTGAGATTCTTTGGATAAATATTTACACGAGTTGGAGTTCAACCAGATCCGGATAAAATGAAAAGTATTGTAGAGTTAAAACCACCAGAAAGCCGAACAGAAGTACGAATTCTTTTGGGTATGATAAACTATAATATGGCAAAGTTTTCACCGAACCTAGCTAATAACACCAAAATCCTCAGAGATCTAACACTGGAAGATGTATACCAATACATGATCAAACATTCAAAATTTTAAATGGATGGAACTGAAGGTGTAGCCTCACCTCGATTCTCACCCAAGGTCAAAATGTTATCGCATATGCTAGCCGAACTTTTTTCAGTGTAGAAAAGCGATACAGCCAAATAGAAAAAGAAACAGTAGCAGATACGTGGTCCATAGAACATTTTTATATCTACCAGAATCTTAGAAAACATCATCGTTCATCGAGATGGCAAGTCCAACCCATCAGCTTATTTGTCAAGACATCACATACCTAATTCAGCTCGTGAAGATACCAAAATAGAAAAAAAAATGTAAATTTTATCCTACAGTCTTCATTACCCAAAGCTATGACCATTGAACAAGTGCAACAAGCTACTAAACATGATAAAGTAGGTACTTAGTTTTCTCATTGACACAATAAAACATACCAGAAACAACTGGATTCTGAATCATCACCATTCTGCAAAATAAAAGATAAACTCACTGTGACAGATAACATCATACTACGAGGTATTCGAATAATTTTACCAGCATCCTTACAAACTCCTGCAATACACCTAGCACATAAAGATCATTTAGGGATTGTCAAGACGAAGCAGTTACTTCGCTCGAAAGTATGGTTCCCAAATATTAAAAGGCTAACAGAAACATTAGTAAAAAGTTATGCAACGTGTAAGGCAGTTACAAACGCTAGGATCAGAGATTCTATAATATCAACAGCAATACCTGATCAACCGTTTTAGCAACTTGACATAGATTTCGAACATTCAAGGTAATTGATAGCAGAAATTGTACAATCTACAAGCTTCCACACTGGCCAGAGGCAAACGGTATGGCAGAGAGGTTTGTGAAGTCTTTCAAAAAGTCTTCAATTTGTGCACAGTTGGAATCCAGCAAGTTTGATTCTCAAATCAATCAATTTTTGTTAAACTCTAGAAGTACTCCACCAAAGAGAAACCCCATTTGAACTGGTTTCAACAGAGAAATAAACAACTTATTACCAATGTACACACAGCAAGAAAGACATAGAGAACAACATGAAGACATAGCAAAAACTGATAAGAAAAACAAAAGAAAACAGAAGGAATATGCAGATTAACTGAGACATACAAGAATACACAACTTTCAGATGAATGATTTAGTTTTATGTAAACATTTTAAGACAAACTGCCTAAATGCGTTTTTTGACCCAAAACCATACAAAATAACTCAAATTAATGAAACTTAAATTTTGGCAGAGAGAGATGGAAAATATTTCAAAAGAAATGCATCGTTTTTCAAAATATTCAATCCTAGTATTCCTAGTCAAGTCCTCAAACATTCGCCAAACACTCCCAAACAAAATGCGTTTACTCTTCCTATCATTCCTATCATCCCACCGAAAACAGTATTCTGGAAGATTAGTCCTAAAGAGGAGCAAGCTACTATACTTGAAGTAAGTTCGCTAACACCACCTACTAATGAATATCCAGACATGCATGAACCTCAAGAAGTCCTATCAGTCAGATGACGATATCTCGTTCAGCTCAGCACCTGAAGCACCTACAACAGATGCAGACAGCCTTTCAGTTAGTGACCCAACTAAATATGATAACTTCAAACAGGACATTTTGAGCAACCCTGACATTCAAGGATTTCAAGCCATCGAACCCTCAGATGTTTGCGACAACATGCGTCCATCAACAGTTTTGAGAAATCCAACCTATTTGAAAGACTATGAGACCAATTATTCTGATTCATTAAGTGACTAGGTATTTTTGCCAAAATGTGTTTTCAGAAATATTACTTTTATGTTCTTTGAAAATTAAAACTTTCAAATATAAAGTTAGGGAGAAAATGTAGTGTCTAGGTTTTGTAACAGTCTATGGTTTGATGAAGGAAACTGTAATTTGGTGGATAAATTATGTCATTTTGCCTCAGAAATATGTATCTTTACTTTATCGTTGAAATATAATAAAACAAGTTTCCTTAGAAAACAATGCTATATTTTAATCAACTCCTCAGTAAGCCTAAAGTAGCTCAAACATTACACATTCTCGAAAGAATGAATCGCCAGAGCTGTAAAGAACAAATTTGGGTTAGTTTGGGTTGGATAAGACAATAGCATATCTTTGGGACGTGATGGCAATATCCTAAATACTAGTCAGAGAAACAGACGAGAAGGCGTTTGGATCGATCAAGTCGAAGTTTGCAGATTAAAAATACTCTCCAAAAGTCATAAAGGTGTTCTTCCAATGTTCTGGATAAGATAATCAAATGGATACCTAATCTGAATCGATCAATTGATATTTGGAATGTGGACGTCGCATTCCTAACGCCGAAAGGCATCCTTGTATAATGCAGATTTGCTTATAGATCCCAATCAATCAGCTGTTGACATATCGGTGACATAATGCTTTTATGGGATAATTATCGTTTCTTTTTTTAGACATCTAGTTTGTTAGACATTGACTATGGGGATTTTATGTTACAGTTCTATAATACTCTAATACATAATCGAGGCACCTAAATTCATTCCAATATTCGGGCTTATTGCAAACAAAATCGCCTACAAAATAATACTAGTTCAGTTGCATAAAAATCCAATAATTCAAATTTTAACATTTTCATTTCGTCCAAACAAACTCAACTTTATTATTAATATTCGACCCGTCTTGAAAATGCAAAACGTCCGACCCAATTACTGCCCAAACCTTCCAAGTACCTATCAAATCGCTAAAACTCCTATCTCCCGACCTTCTTACACTTTTAAAAGATACATTCACTTTCCCTTTTTCCTGTGAAGAGACTTGTATATTTTATTTTTTCCGGATTTGCCTGAGATTTTCCCCTTTAGTTTGAATGAATAAATCAGTACCTTCATCCTAGCCTCCTGAGCCCGGTGCCTTTTTTAGATTCCTTTGGGAGCCGCTTTTTAAGCCTCTTTCTGACACCTTATGCGTGCTGCTTTATGGTCGAAATTTGATTTTTGATGGATTAGGTAGGTTTATTTTTGTGGCAGGTGAACCTCTCGAAACTCGAGATCTTAAAGATGATATAAGAAAAACTGAATATAAAATAGACTACTCAAGGGATAAGTTGAGACTGAAAAGCAGATTTCAGGAAAAAAAAATTATTGGAATGAAAACAAATTTGTCTTAGCAAAGGAAATGAATGGAGAAAAAAAAAACGAAATTGAGTCAGAACCTCTAAGAGCAAAATTACTGCAAATGACTCATCAATCACTTATTAATTTTTGCAATGTTATCACGGAGTTACAGAAGGCGTATCCAATTAACCTATTGTCTAAGGTTTTTGTTACTGATTTTTATCCTACTGATCGTAATGATGTTAGATATGTCAATCGGGATATAAATAATCCAGGTTCATTCTGAGAATCTTCCGCAGCATTGAATTAATGTTCTTTAGCCAAATGGAAGTTGTTGAAAGGCTTAAATAATAATATATAGTAATATTTTGCAACTAGATTGGTTGATAAAAAAAAAACAAACAATTATTACCTTGTAACCTCATGTGTTAATGAATTAACAAGAGGCCCATAATATGCTCAGTTTGCTCAGCAATTAATTATTAGGGGTGGGTTCATAGTTTAATAAACACAGAATAGCAAGGGCGCCACTGAATTGAAAAAAAAAATGAATTACATAAAATATTGGGGTGTGACAATTCAGAAACACACCTAAAAAAAATAATCAGCAAACGGAAATTGGTAATTCTGAAAAGGAAATAGATACGGCATAACTCAACCAAATCTTGACACAGGTAAACCAATAAAACAATTTAAGTAAATTTCAAATTAAATTATTGTACATTTCACAGTGAGGTCAAAAATCGGGTATTGAATAATTTTGAATTATAAAATCAATTACTGGTAAAACACTTTAAATAAAATCAATAAATAGAGGTTGACTCTCAATCAGAATCAGTTCCATCAAATTCAGAAAAAAAGATAATACTACAATGCACCTCAATATACTTGCCATATAAGTTCATTAACAGTTGCTGGGCATACCATTATCATGAAAGGAAAATATAAAGATTTAAGTTTGCAGAAAAGTAATTAAAAAAAAAAATTATTGAAAATTCTATTGATAAATATGGTCAGCTTCTGCTTAAAAAATAAATTCAATAAAATCAACTTGCACCTGTATGAAATCGAAAGTTGGGTTAAATAATCGTTAAATAGTCAGGAGATATATTCGAAATCCTCAAATATATATGTTATGGGACCCATGGTTGAAAATTGACCAATTTTTGGCGATGTAGGTACTTACTTAATAATTTTAAATTTAGAGTATGTTGTCCAACCTTGACTTCTATTCAAATTACTGATTGATTATCATTGATAAAGTATAAGTCCATTCTTCAAATATGGGGCTACTAAAAGTTAAGAAGAGATAAAATCTATAGTAAATACGGTTAATTAAAAATCGGAAATAATATTTAAAGTTCAATTATGTGTCAAGAATATGAAATTGATATTTCAAATATTTAAATGTCATATCAGGAAGAAACTAAATCAATTAATTTTGTTAAATGAAACTCTATACAAGCCTCCATTCCAACAAAAAGGTTGAGCGTGGTAGCCATCCATTCTCGGCCACTTTACGAGGGAAATTGCAAGTGGAAGTTGCAGATTCTAGCTTGGAATCAAGGCTAGAAGTTTAGTTTTCTTTGTCAAATGTAGGGGTACACGTATTGACTCGTGAGGGACTTGATTCTTCTAGGAATCTCTTCAAAATCTCTATAATATGCTCTACAAAAATGGCGTTCTTTTAAAAATGTGTCCTTTTGGAAATGGATTCGTTGAGAGAAACGGCTCCTCGGAAAAACCCTATGTAATAGAGGCATTCCTTGAACAACCATTACTTGAAAAAAAATTATAAAGGACCCACCACGAGGAGGGTTTAAATTTCAAACTCAAAAATAACGGTAATCACAAAACTTTTGATTTAAATTTTTTCCATAATCAACGGATTATCGCCTCACGCAACTTTATTTCGTTAAGATAATGCCTGATGGCCGATAAGGTACTTTATTTTCCAACATGGATAACCCACTGTTACTGTTACCTATTCGAGTTGAACAAGACGACGGCCTCGATTAGAATGGAGCGATGGATAATTGGTATTTGGTGATGCACTAAATGGCTAAATAAAAGAAGCCCATTCCCGATTTCATGTTAATGTGATCACTTTCTGATATAGGTACCTACCTATCTAATTATTTTCCATCAGTTCCAAGAATACCTACTATAACAAAAATGAACTCATGCATGTGTATATTTTTGTTCGCGCTGACACTTTTCAAATTTGTCATCAACTAACTTAACGAACATGAGCGGTGGACATGCTAGATCCACTAATAAGCGGTAATTATCGTTAATAAGTTGATGTAGGAATTTGTTAACTAGTCTCGGTCTATCAACGGCGAGGCAAGTAAAATCCCAAGTCAAAAATAGAATTTAGTATTTTTCCAATCGTTCCTTTTTTTTTTTATCGACAATATTCTCCCCAGTTCCATTTTTCCCGTTTCTTTTTCTCCAATGCAGGAACATTTCCTATATATGCAAAAATTGACGGGTCTACATAATAGGGCAATATTCGGGTGGATATGGGGAAAAGGTGTATGAATAGATTTGGGCCTTAATAATGATGTCGTTAGGTCCCTGCCTGGGAATATTTTATTAGGACTTTTTCTTATTGACAAGAGGGGAATATTTTTCTATAAAACATAATTCAAATATTATTTAGCTAATATTTAAATAAGTCACTGTTAAAACAAAGTCAATCATAAAAATTAATTAAAGGTTATGTGTGCTGTATTCATCCAACGTATCTAATACGATAATAACCGTCCATAATAATTCTAATTATATTTGGCAACCAAGCGTGATAAATTGTGTCATAGTTTATAGGGTGTATCAATTATTATGATGAAGCCCGACAACATTCCTAGACACAGTGTAATTTGGTTTCGATATCTCGTTTTTTATTGAATTAAAAGAAACCTTTTTGTAACGCTTCATTTGTTGGTTTCTGGTGTTGATTTCCATTAATATATAAGTCGTTTTTCGTGGATTTCCTCTCCGCTTGAATCAGAAATATAGGCTAATCTTGTACTCTTAAAGTTGCTCATATTTCAAGCTCTTTGCAGCAATTAAAGCCTACATCTCGCTTGATGTTGTTGCTCGAGTTAAAGTTGTAGCTGTGTGCTAAACATTATAAGCATGTTCGGGAATGCCCAAGTCTGTGATAAATTGTGTTTTGTTTTGTAGTATTGTTGAAACTTATAATGTCTTATATAATTCGCCCTTTACTGTCTCAAGTAAATTTACTACTACTCTCGATTTCTGCGATTTGATTAATTTCAGTTATTTTGAAAATTTGTTCAGAATAAATCCATTCGCTGACTTATTTTTTCTATTTGCTAGAAGTTCTAATTATTGTATCTCGTCTTATTACGACTGTTGCATCTTGTTCAATGTTCACCATAGTCTTATTTTTTGAGTAATACATTCTCAGTCCTATTAGTTGTGCTTGTTCTTCCCAAATGTTTGCAATACGGTTTGTGGTCTGTGACTGGATGAAGTGAAACTATATCGTTGGTGTGATAAGTTATGTTTGCCACCTTTCATGTATTGAATTATCAATCTGACTTTAAGTTAAATAGTTTTCATTTAATTAAGTCATGTTTCTGCTGATTAAATCCGAAGGTTTATTCATTACAATTTAATCAGCAAATAGAACTA